GACGTTTTCACAAAGGGGAAAAATAGCAAAACATGAATGGCGCTAGATAGGAAGCAGAACCACGAGCAAGACTTAAGACAGGAGGGTTTTTCATAAAGGTGGGCACAAAAGGAAAGAATCAGAGATGGAGAGGATGACGGGAAAGGAGGTTTACATCTGGAGATAGAAATCTCTCAAGAATCTGGATGTGACAGAAAGTGGTGACAATGAAGAGGTTCAACCATAAGGACTCAGCTCTGAGCCCTTGGTGTAGACTGCAGGCAACAAAATCAAGTTCTCGCTGTGTGGATAACCAAAGACACACACAGACAGGGCTATTCCCTGAAACCAGGTCGGTGAAGCCATCAGTTGAAAACATAGTGTGGTGACCAGTGGGTCACAGATACTTATTGGTGGTTCCTGAAATGTGAGAACTCCCAGGCAGGGGCTTCCGTATAAACCAGACATGTGCTCTTCAGGTGCACTGCAACCAAGCAATCAAGATAAAACATCATCATACCCACATTTAGAGTGACCCTTTGGCCATTGCGGTGCCTGCAGACTCAACCTCATGAACAGCAGACTACAGTCTGCTCTAGATCTGATTTCCACAGTGGGAAGACAGAGAATCAGGTGCCAACAGGGCCAAATGTAAAAAATACATAATCACTATGTTTTAGCCAAGAAAAGGTAACTTGATTATCAAACGCATGCACTCTAATGAACTGAGAATGAGCTTAAGGGGATGAAATGCTGTTCTCATACGTGCTGGAGACCAACTGCTTTACATAAGAGCCACTGCCTAGACTGAGTATGTATAAATGCAGCTTGACTCGACTGTGACAGCAGGGGAAAAAATGCAGGCAGCACCTCAGAGAATATAAAATCTCATGCAAATCTGGAGCATTGCAATTAGAACGCAGGCAAGTGTGTTCTGTGCATTACCACGAGTGTGATCCCTGTCAAAGAATTCGTACATCTTATTCCAACCACGCCCGAAACAGCAACAAACCAGTGTAAAGAGTAGGCGCCTCTGGGCTCCTTGAAGGTGTTTCAACATGGAATGGGGTTTATAGGGTGGTTGTGACGATGAAATGAAGGTGTCCTTTAAACAGCACTGTAGATGCTTGAGTTACACAAGGTGAACAATATTCTTGCTTCAAGTATTTCTCATACATTCCTTCCTACAACGCCTTTTAGACTTTAAGCACCTATTTGGACAAATGTAAAATGGGTGAGCAGACCAATGTGATTTCCAAAAAAACTATTCAGAAATAAGACTGATGTTCTTTGGGTGGTTCAGGTTGATGCTGATTCTGAGTTTCAAAAATAATTTGGGCCGGGTTCAGTGGTTCAGCCTGTAATCCCAACACTTTGGAAGGCCGAGGCAAATGGACTGCCTGAGCCCGTGAGTTCGAGACCAGCCCGGGCAACTTGGCGAGACCTCATCTCTACAATAAATCAAAAATTAGCTGGGTGTTGTAGTGCACACCTGTAGTTCCAGTTACTTGGAAGGCTCCGGCAGAAGGATTGCCAGAGCCCAGCAGGTTGATGCTGGGGTGGCCGTGAGTGTGCCACTGCACTCCAGTCTTGGCAAGAGAGTGAGACTCCAACTCAGAATAACAATAACAACAACAATAATAATGTGAACATCAACTGCTTCACTGGAAAGTATGGAGCCTCTTCAAATGTTCTAAAAAAGACCAACTGGATGTGCAGGTGCTAACGGGTTTATTATAAAACAACTCCCCTTGCCATCCCTCTTACTGTGGTTCATTGTTAAATCCACAGCGCTAGCCATGTTACACGCCCATCTTAAAACTTTTATTCTTTAGTTAAAAAAAGAACAGAATTTAGTTTACATATTCAGAACTTAACCATCACTCTACATCAAACTCCAAAAAGCACCATGTGCTCTTCTCTGCCCCATGCTTCAAGTCATGGGATCTTATGACAATATGGTGCTTTATGGTGATAAAAGCAATCCTTTACATAGCTTACTGGGTGCCAGTCAATGTTCTAAGCACTTTACAGATTCTAATCCCACTTTACATACATGAATTCCTAACTTGCCTCCAACTAGGAGGGGATCTGGGCTTTGAACCCAGACAGCCTGACAGCAGTTCCTCTTTTTTTTTTTTTTTTTGCTAAGTCAACAATGAGGTTTCAAGAATAAAATCACTTAATAACATGGTTAAGTAAGGGGTTGTAGGTCACAGGGTCAGACTTTAGGGTTGACACGTCAAGCCTCTTTCAATTTACAGAAGAAGACACTGAGACTCCAGGGATGAGCTGCCTCCGGCTAGCGGCCAGGGCAGACTCTCAGGACCCAGAGGTCTCCTAGTTCCCACTGTGCCTTTCAAGGAAATCTGTAATAGAACAGAAAGACTAGACAGAAGTCTTAGCTTGTCAGCTCTGTTCTAGTACTATCTGGTTGTGTAACTCAAGAACAGACCCTTCACTCTCAACTAACATGAAGATGAATCTTTCAACCCTTTAAGGCTTGAAAATCCAAACAATCTATTACATTTATCTTTCAGAAATGTTTTAAAGACCATGATTCTGTTAATCAGGAAGAAATTTAAAGATCTGTGCTATTAAGGAAGACTAAACAGGCGAGGTGTGGTGGCTTACACCTATAACCCCAGCACTTGGGGAGGCCGGGGTGAGAGGATTGCCTGAGCCCAAGGATTCAAGACTACTCTGGGCAACTTGGCGAGACCTCATCTCTACAATAAATCAAAAAATTAGCCAGGCGTGTGGCATGTGCCTGTAGTTCCAGCTGCATGGGAGAATGAGGCGGAAGGATCACCCGAGCCCAGCAGGGCGAGGCTGTAGTGGCCGTGAGCATGCCACTGCTTTCCAGCCTGGACAAAAGAGTGAGATTCCAACTCAAAAAAAAGAGAGACAGAGACTAAATAGAGTATTATGAATAACTGAATTATCATAGATATAACAAAAATAAAATGTCAAGTTTCAAATAGTTTTATATACATATTACAAATAAAAACAAATCAATTTCTAAAAGTTCAGAAGACTCTTTGGGGTTTTATAGTGCTCTAAAATTGAGAGGCATTTATATACTATTGTACAGTATAGCAAGTATACACAGTATATTCAGTACTGAGGTTACCTGAACCTTCCACATGCAACTTGGATTCTTCATCAAGCTACTTAAATTCAGGTTTTGGCTGTGCTATCCACAGAGAGAACAATATCACCTTCCTTTAGTGAGTCGTAAAGGTTTATGAGATGATGAACGGAAAGGCCAAGAGAACACGGCTGATGTTTAATAAATGAGTTCCTTCCCCACTTCCTTAAAAAAGCAGCTAAATGATACTCGAACTTAAGAGCACTATCCCTAAATACTTCCAAAATCTAAAAAAGAAAACTCCTAGAACTTCAGATGATATAAAAGCTCAGGTTTTTGTATAAATGAAAAAGGTTAAGATTACACAAATACTAATAAGTAAGGTTCATAAGAGTTCTGAAGAAATTATTATTTAGACGTCTGCAAGTCAGCTGTAAAGTTGCTCTTCCTTCTTAAACAAGATCTTCTAGGTATACAAATCAGCCTTACGACGAAACCTAACATTCCACTTACACTAATAAGACATATCTTGTTTATGTGTTAGGTTGCTCTTCAATATGCTGGAGATAATAGTTCAAAGTAGAATTTTGTTTAAGAAAACTGGAAGCCGGGCTCGGTGGCTCAGCCTGTAATCTCACGCCTTTGGGAGGCTGAGGTGAGTGGATTGCCTGAGCCCGCGGGCTCGAGACCCGCCTGGGCAACTTGGCGAGACCTCATCTCTACAATAAATCAAAATGAGCCAGGTGTGGTAGCGCGCGCCTGTAGTTCCAGCTACTCGAAAGGCTGAGGCGGAAGGATCGCCGGAGCCCAGTATGTCGAGGCTGCCATGGCCGGGAGCAGCCACTGCACTCCAGTCTGGGTGGCAGAGTGAGATTCCAACTCAAAAATAAAAAATAAATTAAAAAAAAGAAAACTAGAGCAGATCAGGCTTGATGGCTCAGTCTGTAATCCCAGTACTTTGGGAGGCTGAGATGAGTGGATTACCTGAGCCCATGGGTTTAAGATCTGCCCGGGCAACTTGGCGAGACCTCATCTCTACAATAAATAAAAAATTAGCCAGGCATGGTAGCGTGCACCTGTAGTTCTGGCTACTTGGAAGGCTGAGGCGGAAGGATCACTGGAGCCCAGCAGGTTGACGCTGAGGTGGCCATGAGCATGCCACTGCACTCCAGACTGGGCGATGGAGTGAGACTCCAACTCAAAACAAAACAACCCCCCCCCGAAAACTAGAGTAAATTTAGTGATTTCAGTTCTACAGTTATAAATGATGCCATCCTAAGAAGTATTGTGAAAGTACTTAAGTATACCTGAAAATGTTTTTAAAGTTAACATCTAATTTTGAAACTAAATAAAGGATATAACCTATCAAACTCTTGGCAAAAGACGATATGTACTGCCAATTTTTTAAAAAATCACTTCATTACTCAAATGCACTAACCAATTAAACTTTTCTTTCATAACAAGGTATGCATATCATGGTACTGCAAGATGAATGCTCTATGTGAGCCATGCACTTATTACCTACCACATTTATCTACCCTGCCTCCAAAATAACCCATCTTCAAGCAAAGCTTTCAATTTTACATTACCATCATTACTTACTTCTCTCTGACAGAGCCAGGATACCAATCTAGGCTGATGCATTACAAATATGCTTTTAAGGCAGTACATCTTTAATATTTTTTAAGGTCTAAATCTGTCTTTTCCTCTTATCAAAATCACATTTTCTGAAGGTACTTAAAACTTAAAACCTCATTAGTATCAAGTCAGCGTTTCTTTCCTTCTGGTGTCTACTTTACTGCTTCCCTGAGGCTTCTAACTCTGAGATTCCATTTCCCTTTTCCCCTTCTTGGACAGTGCTTTGAGGGCAGGATTAGACCTAAAGATACTAATTATGGAGATCGTGAAGTAAATGACAAAGCTATACAACCCAAGTTAAATCCATGCTTTATGAACACATCATTCTCACACATCTGGGTGACAGGTTTGATACACAAGATCCTAAAGCTCATTTTACATATTCTGAAACCAAGTTGTTCAAGAGATGAATTCTGAAAACATGGTTGGTGTAGCAAATGAGTGTATCAAAACAAAAAAACATGACCTTCATCCAAATATTTACATTTTAAAAAGACATTTAAAAAAGAGGCTACTTATTAAGTGTGCTTGAACAAACCATGTGTGGAATTGAATTCCATTCATTATGGAGTTAGTTTCTGCTAAATACTTACTGATGCTATAGTAGACCCCTGGCATCTGAGGAATTAAGAGTTTTCAACTGTTTCCAATCTATACTAAAAAATAAAACATGACAAATAATAAATTCTACATTTCTGAGGCACTGATTTTAAGTTTAGAAGTGGAAGGGCGGGTATGTAAGGCAAATTACTTAGGAGTAAGGAAGGCTGGCAGCTGTAATTCAGTGTGGTTTTGCAACTGCCTGCATATTACCAGGTATTCAATAAGACTCTCTAGAGGCCATTTCAATTTTGTAATTACACCTTACGGCATTATCAACCACAAACTCAGATATTCACAAAAATATTTTGGAATACATTCCTTGAGAATGTGAAGGGTCTCCTATATTACATTAAACAAAAAACCATGCAGTTACTTAGAGCTCATAGAGCTTTTCCAAAATATATTGATCATACAGCCCAATTAAAAACTCAAACACTTTATATTACAGGTATAGAGAGTTTATAGTCCAGCAATGCCAATATAGGTAACTTGACATCTTAGCCCCTACTTGCAAAGTGATTAACAATTACATATAACTTCTATTCTATTATTATTGGCTTTGGCTCAGATGACTAAATACTTAAACAGCTTAGAAAGTTTTTTTTTTGTTTTGTCATGTGGGCATGGGGTTAGGGGAGATTATACTGAAGATGAGAATGGAGAGAGGTCAGGAACTAAAGAGCCACCAAAATCTGATTCCCTTACACAATACATGTGGGGAAATATGGCTTAAAGACAAGAGAGGAAAGCCTCTTATTTGTTCGTACTGTCTTACTTTGCCCTTCATCCAGTGTGACGACAACGCCAAACTTAATTCACAACCTAGGGCAAGAGTAACTCTCTAAGAGAATCTTAAGAAGTCCAATCTAATGTTGGTACTAAGGTCTTAAGCACTTAACAACAATTCTGGGAATTTTTCAGACTAACTAAAAAAAGGTTTTATAAAGAACCAAAACTCCCCCCAAATTAAATAAGAAACAGCTGCTTTAAAAATATCCAATTCGTGTATTTTTTTTAAGAGATTAGGATTAGTTGGTATATATCTGTCTCTATAATTTGATTTTCTGCTTAGTCTGTAGACCAAGATAACTTTTCTTAAAAAAGGATGCTTTTATTAAGGAAAGAAAAATTCTCTTAAAAAAAAAACAAAAGAAAGAAAAACTGAGACGGTCTAAAATCATTCCAGAACTATTGTTGGGTCAGAAATAAAATGATGGACGACCCAACTCGGTTGACATAAATGTACTATTTTCTTTTTGTTTAAAAAAGGGAGGGGAGGGGGCGGGCCTAGGTTTCATATATCAAAGTCAGCAGAAATTTCATATTTCACAATCTTTTGCTAGAAAGATCCCCAAATTTCTTGAATTCATTTGGGAAGTTTTCTGAAGGTGTGCATTATAGTAAACAGCAGCAAAACGCCATCATAATTCTACTGCTAAAAAGCAGCTACTCCTGCTTGGGCCTTTAGAATACAAATTGTAATACAGCAACAACGACAAAATGCTAATTTGTGCCATCAATTGGGATTTCAACCATTCGAAGGAAGAAACAAATTATATTCTTTAAAACCATCCAAGGTGACATCTATAATCATATTGGACAAATATTCATTGATTTTTTTGAGGGAAAAAATCAGAAAAGGAAGAGACAACAGCACTATGTTTAGTATTCTAAAGGCTTGCTTCAGGTAGTGCAACAATGATTCTGGTAAGACCAACTGCTCACATACATACACACGCACACACATAGATTTTAATGGTTTAAAAAAAACCAAATTTGTTACTTCAGAAAAATGAATGCAGTGCATTTCAGCAATATTATCGCCATAAACTCTGATTGCTCAGTCCACACATAAGTAGTAGTTGCCTTCTATGGTGATATGGCTTCTCTGCACTAATTCCCATCAGGCCGAAAAACATTAGGGCAGGTTAAGTAAAGACTGAATTGTTGCACAAAGGAACATTTACTCATCAGATCCCACTGATCTCTTCTGTGCCCGTTTCCTAGGCAACCTTCTTGGTGAAGCTTTATCTGGAAGAAAAGAGAAGGTTTTAAGCTTTCCTGGATTCAATAAATATTTTAAAATACCTTCCTTCAACTTTACCACTAAGTTCAAAACACACACATGCAAGAATACCACTCAATAATACATGCTTCCTATCTAGATGCAGGCTTTTAAAATAACCTTTAACATAATCCTTTAAAAGGTAACTAATTAAAATGAAACTGTTTGCAGTTAGGGTGGAAAAAAGAGCCAATCTTGGTTACCGTTCTGTTGAAGACATGGTGCAAATCTTGAATTCTACAACTTACCGTGTATATACATGCATAAGTAAATACTTTTAGAAACAGTTTAAAAGGTATGACATTTGCAGCTCAAAAATATTTTTGGTTACAAATTCAAGATTTAGTATTTACAAATGCAGTCGTGCAGTTTGCATAATTTTTTCACAATATAATAGCATCTACCTAGAATAAGCAGCAGAATAAAGGAAATTTGATAGTATTTCAATGCTAAGACCATTCTATGCACATAAGCATTACATTTTACTTCTTTCCCTTTATCTCCTATATGATGGACTCTTAGTGGGGTCTATTTAACAGAAAATAAACTTGTGGTGAGTTTTCTAACTTCCTTTCGGTAAGAGGAATCATCTATAAGTTTCTTTTAAAAAGTGGAAGGTTGGACATATCTTCTCTCTTTTAATGTCTCTTCCTTATTTTCTGGGAGTACAGGTACTTTAAGTATTAGAAAGATAAGCTCATTGTATAATAAGTTAAAAATAAAAATAATTTTTCCAGTTCGAAAGGTTAGAACAAAGTTTTCACCAAAGTATGGGACTTAACTGTAAGCATTTCATGAAATGAAAAACAGATATACCCCGAAGATCTTCCCCTTCCCAGAAGTAGATCACCATATCTATAACATTTATAGTACATGTTTCTCAAGAATATTTAAAGACTAAAAAATCTCGCTTAAAAAGAAATCTGCAGCCGGGCTCGGTAGCTCAGCCTGTAATCCCGCGCCTTTGGGAGGCTGAGGTGAGTGAATTGCCTGAGCCCGCGGGTTCGAGACCCGCCTGGGCAGCGAGACCTCATTTCTACAATAAATCAAAAAATCAGCTGGGCATGGTAGCGCATGCCTGTAATTCCGGCTACTTGGAAGACTGAAGTGGAAGGATCGCCGGAGCCCAGCAGGTCGAGGCTGTGGTGGCCGGGAGTGGCCATGGCCCTCCAGTCTGGGCGACAGAGTGAGACTCCAACTCAAAAAAAAAAGAAAGAAATCTGCTCAAGAGGCAAGGGTTGAAGTCTACAAATTACAAGAAAACTGCCCTCACTACCTTACTAAATAGGTTAGTAATGGGTGGGTTTAGGGGGCTCTTCAACTTGCCTAAAACTCAGTTTTGCATATAGATGTATTATTCTGGTGAAGAAAGCTTATAACTTTTAACAGATTTTCAAAAAGGTTAGACTAAAAACTACTGCTCTTACACAGCTGAGTGATTTCTAAATAATTTTTCAAAATAAGCAATATGCTGAATATAATCTTTGAGGACTCAAAAAGTTCTTTCAAATCTAACAGCCATCTGTGAGAATTACTATTAATATGCAGAAGTGAAGTGGCAATTATTCACTTCCAATAATTTTACCCACCTGTAGCATGGTTTTAATTGTGGGAATACCTGAAAAGAGGCCTCAAAGGACCTGCAAAGCCTGCATTAACACACAAATTAGACTTCATCAGTAAGGCAGCCAATTTGGCTGACCTTAACGAGTCTACAAGACCTTAGACATCTGCCTAGTTGTCTAGCATATCAAGGTTAAGAAGTAGACAAATGAGAAACAGTACGATAGCATTTTGGAGTCCTTTAGCTTTTGAGAAAATGGCTCCAAATACTCAACAGTTCAAAAGAAAGCATTTTAATTCAGCAAAGATCACTGATGTGTATCTGATGTTTTTCAGCCATCAAAACAACAATCTCCCACTTACCCATCCCATAAAAAACCTAAACAAAAACTTTTTAAACTCCAACAAATTATTTAAGATTAAAATATTTCCAGCATTCAAGAGGGAAATTTAAACAGTATATGGAGAAAAAAATCACATAGGTCTTAAAAATACCCACATAACCCCTCAATGATGCAGAATGAATGGGGCAGACTCAGAAATGTCTACACCGCTCATTTAAAAGACACTGGAAAAAACCCACTCACCTAATTAATTATAGTAAAACTAACTTATTGCAACTTTTTTTCATTTTTAGAAAAGACAAAGGCAAAATGTTAACAAAAATTTAAACTAGCCTTCCTCTTCCTTTTTTCTCAGACTGCAAAATCAGTCTAATTTCCTATCTTACTGGAGGGAACAGCACTATACAAATGACTTTTAGATTTTAATTAACTTAAGTCACAAGTTTTCTAACTAGATCCCTGAGTTAACAAGAAAGTTAAATTATATAAAATACTTCATTCTTATAATTTATTTTTTAAGCTGGGGTCTCACTCAAGACAAGTGCAGTGGTGATAGTGATCAGAGCTAACAGCAGCCTTGACCTCCTGGGCTCAGGGTACCCTTCTACCTCAGCATCCTGAGTAACCAGGACTACAGGTGTGTGCCACCATGCCTGGCTAACTTTTTGGTAGAGATGAAGTTTCACTATGTTGCCGAGGTTGGTCTCGAACTCCTGGGTTCAAGCAATTTGCCCACCTCAGCCTCCCAAAGTGCTGGGATTACAGGCATGACCCACAGTGCCCAGCCTCATTCTTATGGTTTCAAATAAACATTTTCCTATGTATACATTTAAGACACTAGTAGTAAAGCAAAGATTTAATAGTTTTCTATTAAAATCAGCTAACCTGCCACTCTATAGTTTAAAAACTTCTGGTACGCTGAAGCATGCTAAGCTGAAATGTAATACTTGCCAGGAATTGCTTAGTGACAGGCTCAAATTGTTTTCAAGTGTCCCTACCCACCCATTACAACACAGTAAGTGAGAGAGAGGAGGGAGCTCTTGGCAAATCAAATAAAAGCCTCTTAAACAGCCTAGAGGTCAGATCGCCCCTCTGCAAAGCTAAGTCCTCAAAGCTAGGGGGGACCTTCTGCTTCCATGATCTTCAAACATTTTTTTGGTTTTCTCTATTGTTTTCAAATATACAAAGCACATGTCCTATCTTTGAGACGTGTTTTTCCTAAACCACCTGCAATGTGGCTCAACCACTTTAAGAAAACCACCTTCTAGGACAGTAGTTCTCAAAGGATGGACGGTCTGGCAGCATCTAGATCACCTAAGAAACTTAGATACACACAGACCTACTTGAACAGAAACTTCAGCGTTGGGGCCCATCAGTCTGTGTTTAGCAAACCCTCTAGGTGATTCTGATGAACACTGAAGTTTGAGAACCACTGTGCTAAAGAATCAAGCTTAATGAGAAGAAAAAAAAATACAAATATACAAAATTCAACAAAAATGTTGTTAAAATTGAATTTAAAATATCAGTATGAGGTCACATGGTTGGCTCCCACCTGTAATACCAGCACATTCCCCCTACCTTTTTTTGAGTTGACGTCTCACTCTGTCGCCCAGGCTGGAGTGCAGTGACATGTTCATGGTCACCGCAATCTCAACCTGCTGGGCTCAGGCGATCCTTCCACCTCTGCCTTCCAAGTAGCTGGAACTATAGGCATGCACCACCACGCCTGGCTAATTGTTTGATTTATTGTAGAGATAAGATCTCGGCAAATTGCCGGGTCTAGTCTTGAACCTGTGAGCTCAGGCAATCCTCTCACCTTGGCCTCCCAAAGTATTCCCAGCACTTTGGATGGCTGAGGCGGGAGAATTGCTTGAGCCCAGAAGTTTGAGACCAGCCTGGGCAACACAGTGACACATCATCTCTACAAAAATTCAAAAAACTTACAGCAGGCATGGTGTTGCGTACCTACAGTTCCAGCTACTCGGGACTCGTTATTTTTTTAAAACGTGGTTTTTTTTAAGCTCAGTTCCCAAAAGTCTAGATTTTAATTTCTAATATCACGCAGGGCTCCTTAGAGACATAACTAACACCACAACTAGGGCAGAGAAGGTAAAAAAATCAAGTTTGGATTACCTTGCAATTCCAGCAAGTAAAGGATCATTCAAAGATCAAAGGGATAAGATCAGAGGCAGTTCAAAAGGGCTCCCTTCCCAATAGCCAAAACTTTAACAATCTGAGCACAAAAAAGAATATGGCTGACCGAAACACACTGACTCTATGAAAATTCAAGCTTATGTATACTTTTTTAAAAAGGAGAAAAAACTCACTTGTCACCATTTGAGTGGTTTTTACACTAACTCTTAACTTAAAAATTGGTGAAGGAAAGAATTAAACATTTAACCTGCCATATCAGTAAGAACTGTCATTTAGGTAAACAAAGAGTCCTAGGTGATGAGAGAAAGCTCTACTTTACAAAAGAATGGCAGTTAGTAAAATAAAAAAAACTAAAATAGAAAATAATCAATTCCAAATTCTGACCAATTCATGCAAAGATTACCAGCTGGTGAACAGTTAAGAGAACTGAGTATCTCTATGATGCTAAAGTAACACCATACAGATAATGTGTGGATTGCAAGAGGAAAGATCTGACCGCTCCTGGTTACAAGGAAAGATCCATGTGGCTACCACTTTAATCAAATGCTCAATTTAGCATCGTTAAGGGTGGGAAACCAGAGACTGTTTATTCCTTGATATAATGCAGAAAGAAGTAATTATCAGCTATTAGCCAAAAAATTAGGCGGTAAATGTGGTCCTTTCTATAAAAACTAAAATGTATATAAACTTAGACCTAGTTATTCTACTTTTAAGATGTTTTCTTAGGCAAGGTGTGATGGCTCACACCTGTAATCCCAGTACCTTGGCAGGTCGAGGTGGGAGGACTGCTTGAGCCTACGAGTTCGACACAAGCCTGGGCAAGGTAGCAAGACCTCACTTCTACAAAAAATAAAAAAATTAGCTGGGTGTGGTGGCATACACCTGGAGCCCCAGCAACTCAGGAGGCTGCTGTGGAAGGATCACTCGAGCCCAGGAGGTCAAGTCTACTATGAGCCATGACCGTGTCCCTGCACTCTAGCCTGGGCCACAGAATGAGACCCCCAACTCAAAGCCTGAGCGCGTGCACACGCACACGCACACGCACGCACACACACACACACACACAAACACACACACAGTTATCCTATAAATGTGTATGTAGGTATTTATTACAGTATTTGTAAGAGTGAAAATCTGAAAATAACTTAAACATCCTTCAATACAGAAGAGGCTTAATTTATCATGACACATTTATACAAAAAAACAATGTCTACTTATTAAAAAGAGCGAGGTAAACGTGTATGTAGCTAGTATAAAGAGATATCCCAGGCATGAAAACTGAAACTGTAGATGTGTATGGGTAGCACAATGCCATTTACATTAGAAACAACAGACATATATGCTTATAAATGTATAGAAAATATTTGGAATATATAACATAACACCAATTATTTATGGAAAATGGAATTAGTGAAGCCAGGAGATGACCTTAAGTATTTCACTTCTGTGCCATTTAATTTTTTTTACAATGAAGTTGTATTGCTTTTATGATAAATGTTTTTAAGAAGTTCCTCTGCAGTTAAAGAAAAAAAATTTCTACATTCTTTCATGAAGATTAACTGAAATATGTCCGTTAGACAAACTAACAGGTAATATTTTAGGCTTATTCTTTCAAATTGCTGAGAGTGGTTAGTAGTTTTTCTAATAAAATATAGTACTAAAATCTGTCCCACCACTCATTAACTCGCTGTAAGGTGTTTATGAACTGTATAAAAGCCCCCAATACTCTAGCAGACACCATTAAAAAAATTGAACACCTCACCTCTTCTACTCTGCACTGAAGCAACAGGAAAAAAGAGAGACAGGAAATGGATTAGGAATATAGAAAATTCACACAATTGTAGAAACTGCGGATGTGAAAACATTTCTAAATTGAAGCATAAAATGACTACAATAAATCTTTAAAGTCTTTATTAATCATTATACTAGATTCTACACAAATAATAGAAGAGATCAATGATAAATAGCACTGAAATGCATTTTTTAAACCAAATCTAAGATATTTAATTTCCAGTTAAGAGAAAAACTCTTTAGTCAAGTTTGTAAGACTACTTACTGATTTGATTCAAAGTTTCCTGAGGGATCCAACTCATATCAACATCATTCTGATTTGATGTACCCATTTCTACTTTCTGTATGGGTCTCTTGCGCTAAGAACATAAAAACATATTTTAAAGGTGTTCCAACACATTGCCTATTCTAATTTTCTTTCTTTTCTTTTTTTTAAGAGACAGGGTCTTGCTGTGTTGCCTTGGCTGTCCTAGAACTCCTGGGTTCAAGCAATCCTCCCATCTCAGACTGCCTCCCAAGTAGCTGGGATTACAGGGACATGCTACCTCACACAGCTGTTTACTCTAATTTTTAATACACCCATCAAGCTACTTAATTTAAACCTTTTAGTAGACAAATTATGTTCTCTTCTGGTCTTAAAATATACACCTACTAAAATATTTTATTAACCAGAAGGTGAAATGACATCTAGCACTAACAATAAAGAATAAATCTTGACAACACTTATTTTCAGGCTTTGAAAACTTTTTCCCTTGCTATAAAGCTTCATATGTTGTTATACCATTGGTGAATCAAATAAGAATGTCTGTATCATTATTTTCTTTCCCTTTAGAATCCTAAATTGTAACCAAAAAATAAATGTATTTCTATATACATTTATTTATATAAAATTCAGAATAACTGCTCAAATGTTGTACACAGGCAAATCCTGCCTTTAAGCTAAATACAATTAAACAATTGGCACATACAAAACAAAACCATAAAATCTCATTTAAGTTAACAACTTCAATTTAATCTAATCTTTCCCTACAGTATTTACAGCAAAACTGCTAGAAAGTGACTCATTCTTTAGTCTTGCTTTTTAAAAAAATCCCCCAAACACCAATAACAAAAACTTAATTATCTACCTAAGAAACAATATTAATTATATAGTCTATAATGAGAATCTGAATACAAAGATGGATAACTCTAAAACGGCTTCACTCAAAAAAAAAAAAGAGACGTAGTTATACCTAACACATAAATTTATGGCAAAAATTTCAGCTATTATAAAAATGAGGTAAAGAAAGTTTTGAAAATTAACATTTAAGTACTAAGTATTTCTCTTTTACAGAGAAAACACTTATTAATAACATTTACTGTTAATTTTAATATAGATTTGACTGCCTGATTTAAGGACTAATAAAAACAAAAATGGCTAGCAATTATTTAGGGTCTAATGGACTATACTAATGTACTTGACACAATTTGTTATCCTTCCCCATTGAGAGGAATAGTACAGGATTTTGTTTTGGTGCAGTAAGGAGCAGGGGAGGAGGAGGGTGAGTAAAAATAAGCGAGAAGGAGGGAAGTCAGGATTTCATGGGGAATGGGTCAGAATAAGAACCATGATCATGAAAGGTCCCCAGGTGTTAACAATCTACCACAATAACCACACAAAAAAGAGATCTGACTCACAGAGCAAGCTCAGTCTTATTTGTTCTTTTTCAAATAAGAAAGCTAATTTAGAGTTACGATAAGAAGATAAAGATCATTCTGGAGGGTACAAAGGACACTAAGAGTCCAAGTAAATCCAATTTGCACATCCAAAGTCCCAGCTGTAGGTTTGACTTTTAAAATCTACAACAAAGCTGTAAGCATACAAATCCACAGTGAGAGCAAGAAGTCACAAAAAACTAGATAGTGCTTAACGCAGAATTTGTGAAGTATGGCTGGAAGTGTTCATCTGTAGTTACCTTTCTAGATTCTAGGAGTTGATGAAGGCCAACAACCACCAGGAGTCCAAGACCAGCAAGGAACATATACATAAAGATTCTGGCATGAAAGGAGAAAATGTACACTGGCTTTAATTCACAGGAAATACCATAGCTAATTACAACTACGATTCTAACAGATGAAATGAGCTTTTCAAGTAACTTGCAAGGAAAAGGAATAAAACACTTTTCATTCAACTCAGATCCAGGCAGTAAGTCTTATAAATGTCCTTCGATTTATATATAAGAGGAATTAGTCAATAAAAAAAGCAATTCTATGACTTAAAATGAGTGAGTTATTTTATAATTTATGCTATATTCAAAAGCTCACAGCTTAAAATAACTGAATTAGGTTTTGACTGCTTCAACTATTATTTCGCACAACTTGATCTAAAAATTACTTTAGGTGAAGTACACGTAAGTTCACAGTAAGAAATGATTCATCATTCAGAAAAAAATGCTTTTTTTCAAGGTAAAATCTTCTAATTTATATTTCTTTTTTGTTTTTTGGGTTTTTTTTGAGTTGGAGTCTCACTCTGTCACCCAGACTGGAGTGCAGTGGCCGCTCCCGGCCACCGCAGCCTCGACCTGCTGGGCTCCAGCGATCCTTCCGCCTCAGCCTTCCAAGTAGCCGGAATTACAGGCATGCGCTACACCATGCCTGGCTGATTTTTTGATTTATTGTAGAGATGAGGTCTTGCTGCCCAGGCGGGTCTCGAACCCGTGGGCTCAGGCAATCCACTCACCTCAGCCTCCCAAAGGCGCGGGATTACAGGCTGAGCCACCGAGCCCGGCTTAATTTATATTTCGATAGTAATTTTAGAGGCATGCAACTTAACTCAGGATGGTGAACAGTTTATAAGCATGGGGTAGAAAATAATTTAGAAGAGAGGAAGGACAGAAAACCAACTACTAACATTTAAAAAGATTTTTTGTCAGTTTCAACTATATTTCCTAACTTGTTATTAGTAGCTTTAAGAATCATTCAAACTATGAATGAATGTAGTAAGAATTTCACCAAATCTACATAGTCCATTCCATCTTCACCACTTAAAAAAATATGCTGAAACAGGAACAAGCCTTCTAGTCACACCTTATGAGATAAAGATCTACATATGCAACTTTCACTCACGTTTCTCCATCTAACCCATCCTCTCTTTCAATAACTGTAACTGTTTGATTGAAGACTGCATCTTGGAATACATTGCCCTGTTTAAAAAAATTAAATAATCATAAAACTCTGAAATGCACTGAAAGAATGAAAACTTGCAAGATTTCTTTTTTCTTTTTCTTTTTTTTGAGTTGGAGTCTCACTTTGTTGCCCAGGCTGGAGAGCAGTGGCACGCTCATTGCTACTGCAGCCCTTACCTGCGGTAAGTGATCCTTTCACCTCAGCCTTCCAAGTAGCTGGAACTACATGCACGCGCCACCACACCCAGACAATTCTTTGATTTATTGTAGAGATGAGGTCTGGCCAAGTTGCTCAGGCATTTCTCTCATCTTGGCCTCCCAAAGTGCTGGGATTATAGGTGTAAGCCACTTGCCCGGCGCAAGATTTCTTAAACTATAGCTTTCTCATCACTTAGAAGGACAGTAAGACTCAATAAAGTCATGTGTAATTGCACGATTCCATGTCAGGAACTCAACATTATGTTACTTACTCCTAGAAAAAAAAAATGTCTCTGGGCTAAACATGATGTCATGTGCCTAAAGTCGCAGCTATTCAAGATGCTGAGGCAGGAGGATCACTTGAGCTCAGGAGTTTCAGTCCAGCCTAGAAAACTGTCCTTCAAAAAAAAAAGGTCTCCTCTACCATGCCCAAAGTTGTCCACTACTTTATGGCAAAGGGAAGGTGTGTGAGGAACCAGGAAAGTACATTAAAAATGAGATAAAGTGTGCAGAAAGAAACAATTTAGCTCACAGCATTTTTATGTCAGCTATTTTATCTTCTTCTGTTTGCAATCCTCCAAAACAAGAAGCACAAAATGTACAGTAGTAGCTGTAGCAAATCACTTTAAGAACTAGACCTGAACAAAAGTTAAAATCATGTTCTATAATGACAGTGGGTTAAAAATCAATTTCTTGGTGAGACCTCGTTTCTACAATAAATCACAAAAACTAGCCAGGCATGGTGGCGTGTGTCTGTAAAAAAAACCAAACAGCCCCATTAAAAAGTGGGCAAAAGATATGAATAGACACTTCTCAAAAGAAGACAGACGAACAGCCAACACACATGAAAAAATGCTCAGGGTCATTAATCATCAAAGAAATGCAAACTCCAGTCAGTGATAACTCAAAAACAAAAACAAAAAAGCCAAAAAAAACAGATGCTGGAGAAGATGCGGAGAAAAGGGAACACTTCTACACTGTTGGTGGGAGTGTAAATTAATACAAACTCTGTAGAAAAGTGTGGCAATTTCTAAAAGATTTAAAAATCAACCTTCCATATGACCCGCCAATTCTCCTTCTGGGAACATACCAGGAAGAACTCAAATCATTCTACAAAAGATACCTGTACATGCATTTTTATTGCAGCACTATTCACTACAGTAAAAACAAGGAACCAACTGTGCTGCCCATTGAAAGTGGATGGGATAAAAAAAAAAAAGTGGTACATATAACTGATGGAATATTATGCAGCCATAAAGAAAGACAAAATCACAGACTTTGCAGTAACTTGGATGGATTTAGAGTCTATCACACTCAGTGATCTATCACAGAAACAAAAAACTGAGTACCACATTCTCACTTATAAGTGGATCTTGAACATTTATCATAATACTGCAAGAAAGAGATTGTCAGTAGAAGGAAACTGCCAGGCAAAGGGTGGTGGCATAACATCAATAAGGGTACCTGAACCCAAACCAGGTAAAGTGAGAATCAAAGGGAGAACCAAACTTCACCTGTACGATGACCACTTATGTACCTAAATCCTGAACTGTATCCTACATCTTTAAAATAAAAAAGAGAATCTGGAAATTAAAAAAAATAATAATCTCCAAAAAAAATTCACTGAAGCAAAATGCAGCCTCTCCTAACAATGCTACGTGGTATACTGATGCCAATGGATTCCTAGAACACTTATCTAGCAGAGAAGGCCTACACTACAAGGAGCCCATCCTCCAAAAGATAATTCCAGGTTTTTCTGGACCCCCCCCCATATGCCTGTTGGATTAAATTTAATTCTACTTGGAAACAAGATAAAATCAGTAATTCTTCAAATTTTTTAATTATAAAGTTGAAGGTGCTTAATACACTATTTTGAAGACAGGAAAGATGAAAACCCTCTCTCCTCTCCACTAAGTAGTTAGAAAAAAAAGAGACAACTTAATTGCAGCTCTAGAAATTTAACTCAAACTTATGGTAAACTTGTTAACACTAGCGTGATGAAAAGCATAAATATTCTTCTAAGAGAAATGAATTTTCCTTCTCTGAAAACTGTTTGAAAGAGATTGGTTTAGAAGTGCCCTTATCTGAATAACATCATTAACCGTTGCCATCTAAATGTCAACTTCTAGCAGTAAAATTCCAGTGAGTTTCTCTCATTTGGTCACTGATAGCTAATATGTATAACTGATATATAATAATGAACATACTAAAATCATAAGATATCAAAGCTTATATTAGGAAATTTGGTTCTCATAAATTAAAACTCAATGATAAACCTTGCTACTAAAACTACTTTAAAAACATTTGGCTATATTTTATCTATGAACATATAAAATGGAAAAAGTTACAGAAAGTTCTTAACTTACAATTAGAAACAGTAAAATGGGTAAAATGTAAGCAACAAAGGGGGTAAAAAATTACTTAATATATCTTAATAAGCAGTAGATGCCAATGTGTGGCATACTGCTCCTTTTCCTGTTAAGACCCAGTTCAAGTCCTTCCACTCCCACACAACAGCACCTTATTTACACATCTCTCTGGTATGCATCACTTATCACACTGTTTTACTGTTTTTATCCATCTCCCCCACTAGATTATAAACTTGAAGACGTAAATCGCAATTATCTTGGCTGCCCTAGTGACTATCACAGTTTCAACCATAAAACAGGCACTTAACTAAACAGAAGAACGTTTATTCAACAATGTCAACTGTTCACATCCATACCCAATCTGAACGAAAAGGAGGCTGAGAGGGCCTTACATTCAAATCTTTGTAGTTCAGATTGATGACCAGACCAAAGGGTCGTCCACCCATGGGCTCTGCAGGAATGAAGGAGTACTCAAAAGTTGCCTGTCTCTGCGGTGCCACAACAGTATTCAGAGGAAGAGCTGTGAAATTCTGGATATAAAACTGGTAATCCTGAGGATAACGGAATGAGGCATCTAAGGATTCAACAATAAAATCTTCTGTACCCTTGTTTGTAAAGCCTACCAGGAACTTCACAATGTTATTTGCTGGAAAATCTGAGAAACAAAATAGAGACGAGAAAATTAAAACACATGCAAAGAGTATAAAACAAAAAGCAGCCGGGCTCGGTGACTCAGCCTGTAATCCCGCGCCTTTGGGAGGCTGAGGTGAGTGGATTGCCTGAGCCCGCGGGTTCAAGACCCCCCTGGGCAACTTGGCAAGACCTCATCTCTACAATAAATCAAAAAATCCGCTGGGCGTGGTGGCGCATGCCTGTAATTCCGGCTATTTGGAAGGCTGAGGCGGAAGGATCGCTGGAGCCCAGCAGGTCGAGGCTGTGGTGGCCGGGAGCGGCCACTGCACTCCAGTCTGGGCAACAGAGTGAGACTCCAACTCAAAAAAAGAAAAAAACAGACATTACTAATGAATTTTGGCACCCTTTCTAGCTGCATGTGGACTTGGTTTCAGAATCCTTTTCACGCTCACGGCCACTGTAGCCTCAACTTGCTGGGCTCAGGCAATCCTTCTGCTTCAGACTTCCAAGTAGTTGGAACTACAGGCATGCACCACCACGCCCAGTTAATGTTTTGATTTATTGTAGAGATGAGGTCTTGCCAAGTTGCCCAGGCTGGTCTCAAACTCCCGGGCTCAGGTAATCCCCTCACCTCGGCCTCCCAAAGTGCTGGGATTATAGGGGTGAGCCACTGTGCCCAGCGCAGAATCCTGTTCAATAAAGAACTCCAGTAACCTATTAACTAGATTAGAGTTGGTATAAGCTGAAACCCTTTTGTCTGTACTCTAGCATTCCCACAAGAGCATTAAACTAATCATCTCAATTTCAGACCAAATCACATCCAAATTATGTGGTCTAAGAAAGAGTTGTGTACTTTTAGCAACAAGATTATCATGCAGCAGGGTTACATATCTTGGAAAAGTCACTTTTACCTCCATTTCAGTGCAGATAAATGGAGGGAAGAGTGATAGATAAAGTGCAAGAGGTTCATCTGAAAACTAGTAATTGTTAGAACATAAAAATTATTTGGGCATTCCCTATCCACTTTAAGCAATTAGTCCAAATGCAAATTTGAAGGTTAAGACCCAAGGAGGCAGCTACAAAAAATAAATGAAAAAAATAACTGCTTCATCAAATTATACTTTTAGTAGGCACAGGTTGGAAAGTACACAGGAATAAAACAGAAAATTCAAGAAGATCATGAAAATGATTAACTTTCAATATTAAGTCGTCAATAATTTCACTGTAGTCTGCAGAGGTGCATTTCATCCAGGACAGTACAGGCTGCAAGGTTAATGCAGATCTGGGTCTGCATTCTGTCTCCACAAACTATTTATGAACTGGGCAACCCAGGACCAGTTTCTTAGACTCTCTAAATCTCAGTTTGTCAATAACAACATTCACAGGATTGGTTGCGATTAAATAACACACGCAAAGTATTGAGAACAGTGTCTCCCATATAGTCCTCAATAAATATCAGCCAGTAAGTTTATTTTCTTTTAATGAGACCTAGGCTCTAACTAAGACACAATTGGAAAGATTTACTATTTCACTAATGTCTAACAATAGAAATATGACAGTTACTCTGCTGTGGCAGTTTGAAAAAACCTTAGAACATTATCTTTGAAAAGACATTTAATTACTAGTTAAACCAGGTAGAATTACTTTTTCCCCTTTGTCTAAATGCCAGCAATACTAACTTACAGAGATGAATATTCATATGTTTGTATATATTCATATATATTCATTCATATATATGTGTATATGTATATGTATGAAGGTTTTTTCAAAATACTTATTTGCTATTCCTGTTATATAAAAGTGGAAGATGAGTAAAGTTCTTAAACATTACCAATGCTTCTCCAAAAAAGAACGTTTGTCATGTTAAAATTCCTGTACCTGAACTAAAGCTAACACTTCTGGATTACCTTCTCCTTTTACAAACAGGATAGTTGTATCTGCACTTGGTGAAGCTTCTGGTTCACCAGATACATCTTCTTCCTCTTTATCTTCTGCCTAAGAATAACAACAATTAAAAAAGATTACCATGGGAGAAAAATACATCATCTTTAAAAAAAATAAAGACTTCATCAGATTTGGGACAAAATCTTGCTTCTCCACAGCTTTGATGGGATTAGTGATATGAATTTCAGCATATCTTATTAATTAAAATAGAACTTCTAGAGTAGTATATTTCAAACAATAACATGCATACCATCTCTCTGGAAATCTTGCAGATCTGATTTAGATTTATGGTGAAGCCTGAAATTCTGTATTTCTCACAAGCACCCAGGAAATGCTAAGGCTGTCAGTACTCAGACCATTCTTTGAAACTGCAAGGTTCTAGAGCAGGGGTTAAGAAGCTTTTTCTGTAAGTAATCATATAGCAAATATGGCTTTGAGGACCACAATGCCCTGCTGCAACTGCTCAGCCCTGTGGCTACAGTGACGACTTGGCTTGCACAGCCACATTTTGTCCTCTTCTCAAGCTCCCTGTTATGAGCCTAGAATATTTCCATTCCAATGAACAGAAAAACAGTCCTGTGAGAATCAGTCACGTAATTTGAGAGAAATGATTAAAAAAAAAATGTGACTACAGATCTTACTGGGGTGATAGAAATGTCCTAAAACTGAATTCGAGTTGCACAACTTGTTGAATTTACTAACTGTATGCTTAAAACAGATGAATTTTATGATAAACTGTATTTCAACAAAGTTTTTAAAAAATGAGAACAAGCGGGGTGCGGTGGCTCACACCTATAATTTCAGCACTTTAGGAGGCAGAGGGGAAAGGATTGCCTGAGCTCAGGGGTTAAAGACCAGCCTGAGTAACATGGCAAGACCTCGTCTCTACAGTAAGTCAAAAATTAGCCGGGTATGGTGGTGCATGCCTGTGGTCCAGCTACTTGGAAGGCTGAGGTGGAAGGATCACCTGAGCCCAGTAGACTGTGGCTGTGGTGGCCATGAGTGTGCCACTGCCCTCTAGCCTGAGCAACAGAGTAAGACTCTGACAAAAAAAAAAGTGAACAAATTTTATTTAAAACCATAAACCTCAGTACAGCATCATTTCTCTAGGCATCAATGAGAATTACAGAGATAATCATATACTTAAAGCATCTAGGCTCTTAATAAATTGAGATGCTTAAAAGCACCTCTGTTTACTAGCACTTTGTTTTTCATGTATGTAAAATATTCCTTTCCCAATAGATAAGACTTGTCAAGGGCAAACATTGTTATACTTTTAAAATTCTGCACACCCAGCTCATGCACTTAACAGAAAAGGGACTCAAACATTTGTTCAACAACTATGAAACTATGCTGTAAATGATATTTTAAGTATCTTAATATCATTCCTTTGGTAAGAGCTAGTCATTTTTACTTTTCAGAAAAGAGACCAGAGATGGGTAGGGTAAAATCATAAACTGTAAAATAAAAAGGAAAGGGTATATACTTGAGAAACAGTTAAGAGAAATCATCCCTAAGATTTGATAAATGGGTTTGGGAATCAAAAATAAACGGAAGAAGTAACAAGGCAACAGCTTGAATCACTGGAGCCATATTAAAACAGGAAATAGTTTATGGTGACGGGATGGATGGCAAATGCTGAATTCCATTTTGGACATATAAAATTTGAGGTATTATGGAACACTCGGATGAACTTATCCTGTCAAGAGGTGGAAATATAGATATGGAGCTCAGTAAGGTAGATGGCTAGAAATGAGATTTGAAAGTCATCAATATAAGGTGGCAGTGGTTGAGACCACAGGTTTTACCAACATTAAAGGGTGAGCAGAGGAAGAGATGGTAGCAGAGATGAAAAGCAGCAGCTGGGCAGGGAAAACTAAGAGAGGAGTGTCACAGAAGCCACCATGAAGGGATTCAAGGAAGGTGACCAGCAAATGCTAAAAAGAGCCCTAACAGGATAATAACGGAAAACAGGCTAGGAATTTGGCAATTAGGTTGCTGGTCATCTTAGCAAGAATAGTTTTTACCAGATACATGATCAGACCATGGCAGAGAATAAATGTGTAGTGAGAAAAGCTGTGCAGGTTACTCTTTCAAAAAGTAATTGGTGCTGGTGAAGATAAGAAAATGAGTAGCAGCTGAAGGTGGACAAATAGTACATAAGTACATGTGTAGTACTGATTAACAGAATTAAATAGCAGAGGAGGATCAATGCTTGAAGTTATAAAAGAAAAATTTAACAAGATCCCATAGGAAGAAACAGGACAACAGCACAGATGCAAGTACTAGCCTTAGCAAAGAATAAGAGGCCAGGTGTGGTAGCTCATGCCTGTAATACCAGCACTAGGCCAAGAGGATTGCTTGAGCCTGGGAGTTTGAGACCAGACTGGCAACATAGCAAGATCTCGTCTCTACAGAAAAATTGCAAAAATTAGCTAGGCATGGTGACGTGTGCCTGTAGTCCCAGGTACTTGGGGGGCTGAGGCAAACGATCATCTTAGCCCTAAAAATGGAGTCTGTGGGGAGTTGTGATCATGCCAATGCACCAGTCTGCAAGGTTCTAGAGCAGGACCTAGTAAGCTTTTTCTGTAAGTTACCAAATAACAAATACGACTTTGTGGACCACAATGTACCTGTTGCAACTACTCAACTCTGTGGCTACAGTGAGAAAGCAACCAGACAATACATTAATGAATGGACAAGGCTGGTTTCAGCTTGTAGCCATGTTTAGCCCACCCCTTATCTCAAGTTCCTTATTATAAGCCTAGAAAGATTTCCACTCCAATTAACAGAAAAATACTTGTGAGAATCAGTCACATAATTTGGAAGAAATGGTGAAAAAAAAAGTATGACCGGAGATCTTATTGGGATGACAGAAATATCCTAAAACTGATCTTATTGGGATGACAGAAATATCCTAAAACTGAATTTGACTCCAACTCAAAAAAAGAGTATAAGGACAACTCATTATTAAGGAGAAAATGCAGAATAGGTAGATAACATATTTAAAAGTAGAAAACATAAAATTTGATAACACTCACACTTTATGGCCTTCTTCACTTTCTGATATGAAGGCAATGTTGCTGCCAAGACTTAAGAGGACTCATTTAAGGGTTTAAAAGTGGTAAGTGTTTGGCTCAGTTGTGGAAAACTGGAAAGTATACGTAAGTAAAGGTAAATAATTCATTTATCTTATAGCTAATCAACATATCATAAGCTAGATAATGCTTAGTACCTGCTACCTCATAAAACTCCAAAATATTTCAGCGATTACAAACTATCTCCAGAAGGAGAATAAAGAAACTGAGAGCACCGGCTGCTTATGGAAAGACAGGGAGATAACTTCAGTGCAGGTACATGAAGGAACTTTGTGACTATACACCTACACCTTTTGTGTTCTAAGTCATTTGAATATATTATCTATTTTAAATAATGATTTGTAAGTTAACTAATGTCATTACTACTATAGTTGTTTTAACAAAAATAGACACAAAAACCACTATTACTCTGTGGGAAAAAATCCTTTCAGGATGACGGCAAGCTGCATTGCAACCCATAGCTTTACACAGTAAAAGAATAATCACCAGGCTAGAAAAGTCTGCCCTGAAAAATTTTAAACCAGTAACTTGCATCTAAACCAGTTGTTGCTCAGATCTTAAGAAAAACCCCGTTTTCCTTCACTTGGCTGCAGGACACAGACCCCATGGCAAAGGATCCTTCCGTATCTTCTAATTCCTTGATGTCTTGGCAGCTGAGTGCTAGTTGATGATACACGAATCTTGAGAACAGTAACAGGTGAGATTCTGGCTAATTCAGTTCTGGAGGTGACTTCTGCAGCAGCTTTGGCTCTGAGGGTCCATCTTTCTTAGACAGCCTACACACAAACCTGTCCCCACCAGTATGGCCTAGTCCAAAGGAAGAAAACACTTTCCCTCAATCCTGTTTCAATATGCCCTAATAACTTTTTTATTTGAGAAAAGTGACAAAGCAGAGGGTACCAACACTTTTGTATTAATAGGTCAACACATGAAGTGGACAGAATTGTTCTTTTTCCTCTAATGGTTCTCAAGACAGTGGAAATGACTAAAGTGTGGAAAGGTTCTGGCCAACACTGTAAGGATATCAAGGATCTAACAGTTCCCTTCTCTACCCTTGTCTGTCACAGTAAGTACATTCCAGTGCCAGAGAATTCAAGTGATAAAAACAGCTACAAAATTTTATCCTTCACTTCATTTCTGTATATGCCCAAATTTCAGAGTCCTAAATACCATCTCTAATCCTAAATTCCTAGAAAGAATTTCCTTCTGATAGTCACTCTAAGTTATCCTACCACAAGCGGCAAGATTACTTTTATAACAGTCAAATATTTATTAACAATGAAAATAGTCGGGCATGGTGGCTCACGCCTATAACCCCAGTATTTTGGGATGCTGAAGTGAGAGGACCGCCTAAGCCAGTGGGTTTGAGACCAGCCTGGGCAACTTGGTGAGACCTCATCTCTACAATAAATCAAAAATTAGCCAGGTGTGATAGCGCACACCTGTAGTTCCAGCTACTTGGAAGGCTGAGGTGGAAGGATCGACTGAGCCCAGCAGGTTGAGGTGGTGGCAGCTGGGAGTGTGCCACTGCCTTCAGCCTGTGTGACAGAATGAGACTCCAACTCAAAAAAAACAAACAAACAAAAAAAAAATGAAGCTGTTCACCTAAACAATTGGGTTTAAGATATAGAACCCTAATACATGCCTAAAAGTATAGGAACTCATACATATAAAAGCTCGACACAGGTAATCAATAAGGGGTTCCTAAAGAAGGGGAAATTAAGTAAGCACACAAATTAGTATTTTATTCAGATGAAACATATGTGCAGATGCATAAAAATGGTAACTAAAAAACATCAACAAAATAGCAAGCAGATTAACTTAGTTGGAAGACGTGCCATAAAAATGAAGATAAGTCAAAAAAGAAGCAGAAATCTATATATAAGGCTAAATACTTTTATACTGAAACAATAAGAAAATAGGAAACTGAGGCTGGGCTCGGTGGCTCAGCCTGTAATCGCAGCACTTTGGGAGGCCGAGGCGAGTGGATTCCCTGAGTCCGTGGGTTCAAGACCAGCCCAGGCAACTTGGCGTCTGAGACCTTGTCTCTACAATAAATCTAATACTACTACTAATAATAATAGCATGCGCCTGGGTTCGCTTCTTGGAAGGCTGAGGCGGAAGGTTCGCTGGAGCCCAGCCTTCTTGGAAGGCTGAGGCGGAAGGTTCGCTGGAGCCCAGCAGTTCAACACTGGGGTGACTGTGAGTGTGCCAGGCACTCCAGCCTGGGCAACGGAGTGAGACTCCGACTCAAAAAAAAAGAAAAAGAAAATAGGAAACTAGCAGTTTAATCTTGCAAAGAATGACAAAAATTCAGAATCAATAAAGAATCCAGGTTCAAGTGTAGCATGAAAAAGATTCTGTGTAGCTTAGGAAATAAGAATAGCTAGATGCATACTGCAACGATGCTGATTTCAGCCCAATATTCTTACTGTCATACTATAACTGCATAGTACAAATTTCAGAGCTGGACAACTTCTAAGAGATCTTCTCTAACTCCTTACTCTTCAAAGGACATATCTTATATTTTGCTTATTGTCTGCTGCTCAGTCTCTGTCCCCAAAACACATATTCCTGTCCCCAAAACACTAAGTCCAACAGAACAGAGAAAATATCTGGTTTGTTCAACCTAGCACCCAGAACAGTGCCTGGCACATAGAAAGTACTCAAACATCCTTACTTATTGAATGAAAGTATGAAAGAAAGAAAGGAAACTGAGACCAGAGAGAGAAGCTAAGCAGCATGTATCCAAAATCTATCTACCCACGGTCCAGTGCTACTCCCACTATATTGCTACCCTCCTAGACTCATGTCCCCATGACCTTGAATTGTTCCTTAACCATTTCATGTCTTCTTTCCTGTTTCAGAAAACACTTACGCATGCTCCATCCTCAATGACTGGCCCCAGTTCTGCCAACTTCAATCTACTTTGATCATATTAACAAACCTCTAGAAGTGAGAATTATAAAACCAAATTTTTTATAAAAAGAATAAGTTCTAGATGTATGATATACATTCTGCATGTACCAAATTGCATGTAACACTAACCAAATCTGTGGGTTCATCTTCTTCCACCTCAGCTTCATCATCTTCATCTTCAATTATTGAATCTTCCACTGTTTCTTCATCCTCTGTAAGATCCTGAGCCACTGCCAATAAGCCTAACAATAAAACATAAAACAAGCACAGTTAACTTTTATTCTAGAATACTAACGTTTTTTACTATCAGGTATAGGCTAAAAAGAAAAGGTCCCCATGCTCTCCCAGTTCACCTGAATGATGCCAAATTGAAATGCATCTAAGAATATTTATATTACTTTATTTTATTAGTAGTCTTAACAACTGCATTTTTTTTTTTAAGAGACAAGTTCTCACTGTTTCCCAGGCTGGAGGGCAGTGGCGTGATCATGGTTCAGTGCAGCCTTGAACTCCTGGATTCAAGTAATCCTCCCACCTTGGCCTCCCAAGTAGCTATTATTACAGGCACGTACCACCATACCTCACTAATTTTTTATTTTTGGTAGAGAAAGTCTTGCTATATTGTCCAGACTGGCCTCAAGTGATCTTCCCACCTCAGTCTCCCAAAGCGCTGGGATTACAAGCATGAGCCACCATGCCTTGCCTGCATGTTAATTGTAATGGGAAATGCAGTTTAATTTTAAGAAGTACCCAACACACGGAAAAATAAACTGTAGGATCTCAAGATGCCTTGAAACACAAATAAAGAACTTCAAGCAATTCTATTAAGCAAATTAAGGAAAATAAATTTGTTGCAAAGCGAAGAATCTCTAAATTTAATGTCTATCATTAACCATATAAAACTAAGCAAAAAAAAAAACCCCTCAGGTCTAAAAGAAAACAGCCGTTTAAATACTTAGGCAAGAAACGTTGTTATTAGAGTTGACTACAGCTGAAACTTAGAATTTGATTGCCTGTAATTCTCGGAAACAAATATCTATATCATATCCATGGTAAAAACTAGCACAAAAACCATTCTGTTTAGTAAAAGCTATATTGGTAGCTTCAGGGTTGATAGCAATTAAAGAATTCAAATATTTCTACAAATGGTTGCAAGCATGTTTTAAGATAGTTTTTTATTTTCCTCACACTTAATATCACAAAGTGTAGTTGTAATGCCAAAAAAAGTATAAATCATAGTTTTATAGGCAAAAGTACTCTAAAGAAATCACATTAAATCTATTCTAGGCAAGATCCTAAAAATAACTCCAAGTTCTAGTGTCTTCCAACATTTCTCAGAAAAAATGATGATGTGGCAGTTCAGTTGAGAAAAAAATGTGGAAAGGGAAGCATGTGCAATATCCAGGAAAAAGCATATATTTAGGACCATGCAATTTAAGTATTTTCCACATCCTTGAAATTTTACTGGCTGTTAAGATTTCTACAAAATATTAAAGAATACTGAACCACACATTATAAACTGAAAAGCAGCTTCCACTGCTTGATGAACAAAGACTAAAATAATGCATTCATAACTTGCAAGTCATTTTCAAAAACCAATAAGAAAAGCATCCATGTCTGATACAGCAACTGAAAATTTTAACTAAATTTGAGGACAGATATTGGCCTTTCAACCTACATTTCAGTGGATGTTAAACAATTTTATTATTTTAATGTTAACTAATAACAATTTTGTCCCTATAAAAATGTAACAATTTTCAATTGCAAAAATTTTAAAAACATTTTCTTGAAAGAAAAATCATTACCTACAAAAACGTTTACAAGATATTAATTCAGCCTAGATAAGGAATTGATGTTTCTTAAAGATAAAACGTTTTTAAAACTTGAAAAACATAGGCTAGGTTTTAAAACAAGTACATCTGTCAGATTTTACTTTGAAAAGCTGAATGAGAACCAGCAAACAACTCCAAAGCAAAGGAAAAGAAGCCCTCTTTCAACTTGCAGATGAACGTATTGACATGGTTTTCTATCTATTAAACAGAAGCCAGTCACTTCACCTTTCTCCTGGATACCCGTCTCTACTATTCATTAACCACACAGCTTGTCTGCACTTAACAGAATGAAAAGGAATTCTAGAGATCAGTTAGCCTTTTCTTTCACTTGACAAATTAGAAAATCGAAGTTCAGGGCAAACCCAAGGCAAGAATCCAAGTTGCCCCATTTTTATGTTCTGCTAAGTTACTTTCCCACCAGATTAAAGTAACTGTCGACAAGAAAAAAACCCATAAAGCTCGAAGCAGACTACAAAGCTTCCCCCAAACAAAAACTGTTACACGAAAGGAGAGGAGAGACAGGGCAGAAGTAAGAGTCATCCCACAGGGACCGCAGTCGTCTGACAGCAGGGGCATCAATGGGGGTGAGGACGCCGAGGTTTTCTGGAACGGGGTCTCCTGGTAACGCAGAGATCGGGTGCAGGAAGTGAGGCCGAGGGCCATAAAGAAAGACACTAACAACTCAGGTGTGCAGACGTCCAGGGCTTCGGCAAATGAATGAAGGCGGCCTCCGGCGGGGAAGCGAGAGACACGTCAGCCCAGAGAGCGAGGGGATGGGGCGGAGCGGAGCGCAGGCGGCCAGAAGAAACGCACGGGCCGCGGCGCGCTCGGAGCAGCCGTGCCCAGCGCCCCCT